AAATCTGTTGTTGAAACCTTCTAGTGAAATTTTCATTTCAGTTACTTTTCAACTCTAAAATATCCATTTGTTTCCTATTTATGGTTTGTCCCTTTATTGGTATTTCTTTATTTGGTAAAATATCATTCTCATATTCTCCTTTAGTTCTTTAGACATGATTTCCTTTACCTCTTTTAACATGTTTGAAATAGATGGTGTAAAGTCCTTGTCTAGTAGGTCCAACTTTGTTTAGAAAGTCATGGAGAGTTTTTTTTTTCTTGGTTACTTTTTCCCTGTGTGTTGCTACCCTTTCTTGTTTCTTTGCATATCTTCTAAATATTTTTGAAAACTAAATGTTTAAGTTAATGTGGCAACAACTCTGGAAATCAGATACTCCCCACTTCAATCCCCAGGGTTTGTTTTGTTGCTATTTGTTATTTATTCATGGAATTTATTCAGAAAAATCACTGAAGTAGAAGTTTCTACTCAGTTAGCTTAGTGGTCAGCTGATAATTGGATGGTGATTTCCTTAAATGCCTGGAACCAATAAGTCTTCCAGGACTTGACAAGGGGCTCTGTGTGCATGTTGGGACATATCTTCAGCACTCAGGCAGACAACTTACAACTCTGCCTTAGCCTTCACTTCCTGCTTTGCACAGCCTCAAAGTCAGCCTTTCCAGATTATGCTCACAGCCCCTCTGCATGCAGAAGTGAGATTTTGGAAGCCCTTAATTGCCATTTTTGCTGATGTCATTCCATCATGACCTACTAAATATCAATGATTCAGTATTCATCTCTATGCAAATGACTTTTTCTTCTGTAATCATAGTACTATTATTTGACACCTGAGTAAAGTAACAGTTATTTCCTAATATCATTTAATACCAAATGCTTATTCAAATTTCCCCCAGTTATATAAAAAATATCTTATATAAATTTACTTATTTAAGCCAGAATCTATTCAAGAACTATACATTTCATTTGTTTTTTATAACCACTTAATCTTATTCATTATTTAAAATTTTATGAGAATTTTCAAGTGTGTAAATGTAAGAGAGAACATAAACACCCATATTCTCAATACTTTGATCCTACAGTTGTAATATTTTGCTGTATTTGCTTCATTATCTATATCTATCTGTCTATAGTTTTTGCTGAGCCACTTTAATGTGCAGCCACCGTAACATAGTATCTTACCCCTTCGTACTTAAGTATCTCCTAAGAATAAGAACACCCTCCTGCATAACCATACTACCTTTGTTATACTTAACAGTTAATAATTCTCTAAGATCTTTTAATAACCCAGTCCATGATCAGATTTCCTCAACTATCCCTACAAAATGTCTTTTATAGTTTCCCCCCCAAAATCTGGGTCTGGTCAGGAGGTTAGTTTTTTTTTTCAGATGAAAATAACTTGCTCATGTGTTAACAGGTCAGGATTTTGGAAAGGACACAAGGGGGACAGCTTGTGTCTATTCCTTGATGTCTGGGATCTCAGCTGGAATAATTTGAAGACTGGATGATCAAGAGTTTGGATCATCTAAAGTTTCATTAACTCATGTCTGGTGCCTGGGCTGGGAAGACTCAAAGGCTAGAAGTACCAAGCAGAGTGCTTTTATGTGACCTCTGCATGTGATGGTTAATAGCTTCCTTACTGCCTGATGGCCTCAAGGCAGTCAGACTTCTTATGTGGCTGCTTAGGGCTCTTAAGTGTGAGTGTTCCAAGAAGCAACATGGAAACTAAAGTTGCTTTTTCTGACATAGTCTCAGAAGTCATGCAGTGTCACTTCTGTCACATTCTATAGGCTACAAATCAGTCTGCTCAGGTTCAACGTGAGGAAACATAGACCCCCCCACCTATTAATAGGAAAAGTGTCAAAGAATTTGGGATCTTGTTTTAAAACCACCACACATACAAAGTTATGTTGTTTAGTTGCTAAGCTGTGTCCTGCCCTTTTGTAACACCATGGACCCCTCTAGGCGCCTCTGTCAGTGGAATTTCCCAGGCAAGAATATTGGAGTGGGTTGCCATTTCCTTCTCCAGGGGATCTTCCTGGTCCAAGAATCGAACCTGCATATCCTACATTGTAGATGGATTCTTTACCACTAAGCCACCAGGGAATCTCTACAAAACTATAGAGAACACTATAAAATACACCCAAGAATCCATGACTGAAAATTGTGCAGTAGCATTTTTGCTAGGTTGGCTCCAGATCATTTTTAAAACAAATCAAACATCACCTTTAAAGAAAGGACTTCACCCTCCTGAATTGCCTATTCTAGAATTGGCATACTGCTTATACAGAAAGTCTCCTTTATGGTAATAACAATAGGTAACCAACCAAGGGATCTTTAAATATAGATCCAATAGAACCACCACTTCTTTTTTTCTATGACTTTTTTTTTCATTAATTAAAAAAAGTGAAATCCCATACACCCACCACTGAGAATCAAGTTATAAAAATTTTGCCATATTTGACTCATCTATAACTTTCTTTTTTTAAGACTGTCTAAAGCAAATCCCAGATAGTGTCACTCCCTTCCTCTCCACCACATACTTCAGTATGCATCTCTAAAGTATACATTTTCTCACATAACCACTGTCCTGTCATCATATATAATAGCAATATAATAATTTGATAATTTGCCTCAATGTTACCTAATACTAACTCTGTAATCAAATTTCCTTAACTGTGTAACAAAAAAGCACTTTCATAGTGGATTTGTTTAAATCAGGATCTAAACAGGGTCCATATGGCATTTGGCTCTCTTGTTTTTTGAATCTCTCTTAATCGAGAGAAAGCCCTTCCTTTCTTGTTTGATGCTGTTGAATTGTTACAAAAACTAGTGTAATTGTCCTGTAGCACACCCCACCTTCTGGATTTGTTTGCTTCCTTGTGACATTGTATTTTTAAAGAAACCAAGCCAGTTATCTTGTAGGATGATTGTTTGCCCTCAGTGTCATTTAATTTTTTAAAAATCTGTTGTTTCCTGAAAACTGGAAGTAATATGAACTGCTTACTTGATGTCAGGTCTTTGGCAAAACTACTTCCCGGGTGATGCTGTAAATTTCCTATTGCATTACATTAGGAGGTGCATGAAGTTTGCCATCTTGCTGTTAGTGACAGTAAGAGGTGAACTCCTGATCTCACCATTATAAAATTCTTTTTTTTTCTCTTGAGACTAGCAAGTAGTCCATAAGATAATACTTTGGTACTATCTGAATATCCAGTTCCCTAAAATCAGTTAATTCATTAGGGCTTGCAAGCCTGTGGTTTTCTTCCTTTTTAAAAAAAAAAATATTTTTAATTGGGGGAAATTGCTTTACAATGTGTGTTTGTTTCCACCATACAATAACACAAATCAGCCATAATTATACATATATCCCCTCCCTCATGAGCCTCCCTCCCTTCCCTCCATCCCACCCCTTTAGGTCATCATCACAGAACACCAGGTTGGGCTCCCTGTGTTATGTAGCAACTTCTCAGTAGCTATCTGTTTTACACATTAGGTAGTATATATATGTCAACACTACTTTCTCCATTCACCCCCCTCTCTCCTTCCTCCACTGTATCCACAAGTCCATTCTCAATATCCGAGTCTCCATTCTTCCCCTGCAAATAGTTGCCTCAGTACCGTTTTTCCAGATTCCATATATATGTGTTAATATGTGATATTTGTTTTTCTCTTTCTGACTTACTTCAATCTGTATAATAGGCTCTAGGTTCATCTACCTCACAGGAACTGACTAAAATTCATTCTTTTTTATGGCTGAGCAATATTCCATTATATACATATGTGCCACGGTTTCTTTATCCATTCATTTTTTGACGGACATCTGGGTTGCTTTCATGTCCTAGCTATTGTAAATAGTGCTGCTATGAACATTGAGGTCATGTGTCTTTTTCAGTTATGGTTTTCTCAGGGTATATGCCCAGTAGGGGAATTGCTGGGTCATATGGTAGTTCTATTCCTAGTTTTTTTAAGGTATCTCCATACTGTTCTCCATAGTGGCTGAATCAATTTACATTCCCACCTACAGTGCAAAAGGGTTCCTTTTTCTCCACATCCTCTCCAGCATCTATTGTTTGTAGATTTTTTGATCATAGCTGTTCTGACTGGTGTGAGATGATACTTCATTGTAGTTTTGCTTTGCCTTTCTCTAATAATTAGTGATGTTGAACATCTTTTCATGTGTTTACTGGCCATCTGTATGTGTTTGGAGAAATGTCAAACCTGTGATTTTCCAATATTGTTATTCCTTCTACATTTATTAGCTGCCATCTTCTGTAAAGAGCTTTCCCTCATCATCTGGGGTTGTTTGGTTATCTTGAAATACAATTCCTATATAAAATGTAGGATGAATAACTATTTTTTCATTCAAGATTGTTAAGACAGTATAAAAAAGGTTTTACAAAAAGATGATCTTCAGGAATTCATAGCCTGGTTATTAGACAAAATAGCACACATTAGCATTAGGGAATGACACTGGATAGTATGTGTTATGTATTAAGTGACTTGTACATAAGTTCAAAGGAGGGAGGGGTCAGTGTGAGCCAAAGAAGCCCTAGATGTTTTGCATAGAAGATTGATTTTGGCTTGCCTTTGAATAATGGGCAGGTTTTAAAGACGTGGACAAAAGGGAAGTGGGTACTCCAGGCAGTGAGGGCACAGGGGGAGAGGATGAGCTGTATATGTTCTGGAGGTATATATAGTAAGGAAACCATTCTGTCTGTAGAAGCTGAGGATATAGGAGTGGAAATAAGGTTAGGGAGGTAGGTAGGGAGTAGAACATGGACAACTTTACATGCCAGTTCAGTGATATTAACTTTTATCTTTTAATCAGTGTGTGTTTTGTGTACCTTGGGCATTTGTAAATTAGCCTTTTACCCATTGGGAAGCAAAATCTGGCTTTGTAAAAAGCTAGATGGAGGAAAACTAAGGAGACACCTTTTGGAAGCTCAGGGGTCATGAATATGATTGGCATTCAGATAAATGTCTTCATCCTGTTCTCTCTGCAGCCCGTGTGACCCCAACTTTACCGAAGCAGGACCGTCCTGTGCGTGAGGGGACCCGGGTAGCTTCTATTGAGACAGGCTTGGCTGCAGCAGCTGCAAAGTTGGCCCAGCAGGTAGGTGCTGACACTTAGGTAATGGCTCTGCCACTGATCATGGTTTGATTTAGAGTCTCAAAACTCAGACCTTCAGGCTGATAGGATCCCACTGTTCTCATTGGGAAGTGGGTAACTTGTGATCTTTATCCATGGCATTCCAGCTCTCTCCTATATCCTACATATCCCAAATGACAAAGCTACTTCCACAGGTCACACAGGTGACATGATTTAGGGTGAAAGAAAATAAGGGGCCAGAGAAAAGTACTTGCATGTATCACTTGGGTGTGTGAAAACCTCTCATATGGGAAGGACCAAGTGTCCTTGGGTGAGAACATTTGGCTTCAGATGAAGCTCTGAGGAGGTGACTCAGTTGAGTGCACTCAATTTCTCAGTCTCCCATTAGTATGGGATTTTTTTTTTTCCGGAAAGAGGCTTTTCTTATCCTCTATACCTTGATATTGCCTTGATCTTCACCCTCTGCTTCCCAAGAAAGCTTCACCCACCAAGTTTTGCCCTAGAATCAAGTTGACTTCCTAGCATGTTATCGTTTTCAAAGTTCTTAAATGTGCTCCACCTGGGAGCAGTTGGAGGTGAGTCTTATGGTTCTCTCCTTATCAACATCCCCTTATATCCCACATCCTATAGCTTAGAGCATTTATTCACCATCAGCTTTATGTTAGGTGTTTCCATGTATAGTGTTTCATGTAATCTGTCCAGTAGCCCTGTTCAATAGGCGATATTTTCATCATTTTACAGGTGAAGAAAATGAGGCTCTCTTTAAGTGACTAGTCCAGGAAAATACAGCCAGTAAATGGAGGAGACAAGATTCAAACTCATATCCTCTAACTTCAAATTTCATGTTACTTGCTGTTTAAATAAAATGAAATAATTAAATGTCTATATGATTCAGTAATTATATCCTATTTAAATTACTTTTATTAAAAAATTTTAAAAAATAAATTAACTTTTAATAGAATGATGGTTTTAATATGATATTCTGTAAAGTTCTAGAGTTACTTAGAAATGTCTTGGAGACTTTTGATGGGAGCCAGCAGAAACCAACCAGGCCAAGTGGCCATTCTTTGTCCAGAACTTCTGTTATGTGTACCATGTAAGATGTAATTTGAAAAAAAAAAGAGATTTGACTGCTTTAAATAAACAAATTAATTAAAGTTGTAAAAACTACTCTTAGTCCCTTCTGAGGAGTTCACTTCTGGTTGAGTTCATCAGGGATGACCTCAAAGAAGAGGTTTTGAATTTGGGAAGGGTTTTGCAAGCTAAACTTTTGGAGGGGATAGGGAAGCATTCCAGGATAAGGGAATTCCTTGGTACAGCACACAAGGCCTTCTTGATTTGTTCTCTGGTTACCTCTCCTCCCTGACTTTGTGTCAGCCCTTCATGTATGCCATTTATACCAGTCATACTGTTGCATTACGGTGTTTATATTCATTCTGTGTATCAGATTGTCTCAGGCCTCTGTGCCTTTGCACAAACTGTTCCCTCTGCACATTGGGAATCATGCCTTCTTAGATGCCTTTACGTAACACCCCTTCACACCATCCACCACCAGTTTATTTCAGTGGCCGCCTGTGCTTCCATAGCATTCTCTCATGATACTTATAGTGTGTACTTTTCTGTGTTTCTTATTAAACTGTAAGGGCCTCAAGGGTGGGGACATGTCTAATTTAACTTGGTATCCCTACTATGTTAAGCATGTGTTTAGTCATTGTTGATTGAATGAATGAATGGATAGATGAACAGATTTTTCTGTATTATAGACTTCTTGTTGGGGAATGGAGTAAGATAGAGTTTAAAAAATGCATTCTGGAGCCAGCTGCCTGAGTTCAAATCTTCACCCTTTCACTTAAGCAAGTAACTTAATTTCTCTGTGCCTCAATTTCCTCATATACTCTATCTGAGGATTAGCTGAGGTAATATGTGTAAAAGCTCTGAGAACAGCACTTGCCACAGAGTAAATACTATAGCCACATTAACTTTTCATCATTATCATTACAGGTTAGCTAGGTATAAGTGGCCAGACTATGGAAGACCATGAATGTCAGGCCAGGGAGTTTGTATTTGGGTGGGGACTTGCTAATGGCCTTTTGAACAAGGGAATTGATAAGGTAAAAGTGGCCTTGTCATAAGATAGATTAGTCTTCTGTGGGGGAATCTGGATGAAATATATATGAGAAGGAGATTAGCAACAAAGGTAGAAAAATTTAAGTGACCTAGGTTGTGAAGAGATAATTTCTGGATTTCAGATGAGAGAAATGGGGTCAGAAACAGGGTTCTTGATATCGATGGAGTAGCAAGCACTTTGGCTTAGAAAAGAGACTCTGAAGACAGATGGTTCCCAATTTGGGATTATGTGACACAACTCTTTATTCATCCCTCCCATTTTTGTTCCTATATGTGTGTATGTTAGTCGCTCAGTCATGTCTGACTCTTTTCGACCCCATGGGCTATAGCCCACCAGGCTCCTCTGTCCATGGAGTTCTCTAGGCAAGAGAACTGGAAAATGACTTAATCTTTCTGTGCCAGTTTCTTCTCATAAAATTGAAATTATAATTCTTCCTGCTTATGTTTCATATGAGTATTAAATGAGTTAAATTATAGAACAGTGCTTGGCATGTATTACTAATATTATTATTCTTGTCCCCTAGAAATTCCTGTGATAGCCACAGACTGTCAGATCTTCCAAAGCCAGGAATAGGCCTCTGTTGCCAAGAGAAGGCAAAGAAATGTAATCACTAAGTTGGTCTGTGTGGCTGTGTAGCATTTCAGAAGGTGAAGTCATTCACATGCTCCCAGCCCCACTTTTCCAGGTTCTCAGGGGTCTGGGTACTCATTATAAAGGTACTCACTACACAGTGGATAGTATATCCATAGAGGGATGGATGGGTGAAACCCAATATATTGCAAGAAGTGACACAACTCCTTATTCATCCCTTCCATCCAAAATTGAGATTTTAAGATCTAGTAACCTGAAGGACTGTCCTTTATTAAAAGAAAAAGACCAGAAAGAAGATGTAAGAGATGAAGATAAAATAATAAGTTTACCACTTACTGAGTACCTATTATTTGCTATGTGTTTTTATATTATTTGATGTTGCCAACAACCCTGGAAAACAGCTATTGTTTTGCTCATTTTACAGATGAGGCAATTAAATTTCAGAAAGGTTAGTAGCTTGACCAAGGTCATCCAAATTAGGGAGCACAAGCATAGATTTAAACCCAAATTTATCTCATTCCAAAGCTCCTGCTCTTTCACTTGCAGATGTCCCATTTTGAGAAGTGTGCAGGGTGGGTATTTTAATATACCTAGTTGAAACCTGAACCCAACAACTCTTCAGCTGTGTGGCTTTGGGCTCAAGTTACTTAATATCCCTGTACCTCAGTTTTCTCAGTGTAAACTGAGAGATTTTCCTTCTCAGGGATGTTCTAAGGATTATATGAGGTCAAACATTCAAAGTGCCTCAGCTGCTAGCATAAATTTAGCTATTATTATTAGGCATGTCCTTGGTCCACCTCATAAATGGCAATGCTAGGACCGAAACCCAAGTTTCTGAACTCATTTATCCTTCTGTTGCCACTGTACTAATTAGTAGCAGTGATGACTGAAGAATGGATGGTACTAAAGGACCTGTGGTATTGGAAGGCCTGTGTGTTGTATGTACATACATCCAAGCTAAGCAGGGTAGTTGTGGGGGAACCATACTGACCACCATTTAGTTTCCTTTCTGGGGAATTTTCTTCTCTTTTATTCATTCCTAAATTCTCCCCTCTTACTTGGCTTGTGTTTTAGGAGCTACAGAAGGCCCAAAAGAAGAAATACATCAAGAAGAAGCCTTTGTTGAAGGAGGTAGAACAGCCTCGCCCTCAAGAGCCCAATCTCAGCATGGCAGTACCAGCCCCAACTCTGGCTGCTACACCCCAGCTTCTCACCTCCTCATCGCCCCTGCCTCCTCCTGAGCCTAAACAAGAAGCGCTCTCAGGAAGTCTTGCTGACCATGAGTATACTGCTCGTCCCAATGCCTTTGGCATGGCCCAAGCAAACCGCAGTACCACACCCATGGCTCCAGGTGTCTTCCTGACCCAGCGGCGCCCTTCAGTTGGCTCCCAGAGCAATCAAGCAGGACAAGGTATGACTGCCACATGGTTGTAGAACTGAGAAAGATCTTAGGATCACTGGCTTCAAACCCTAAGCCCTCTGGTAAATTAAAACACCCAGGAGGGACACTGAGGGGCAACCTAAGATGCTTGGATTTGACCTCATAGTTCGTGAAGAGACATTGGTGTTAAACAGAGATTAACTCAGATGTGAGTTTGGAAAGATCTTTATGGTGGGCCAAAGTGGAGGGTGAGCTGAAGATGGGAAGTCTAGGAAGGAGATGCATACACAAGCCCAGACTGTAGTGAAGAGAGGCTAGGGCTCTGGCAGAAGGAATGAAGGAGGGGATAAATTGATCAAATATGGAAGAGTTCACGTGGGACGTAGGAGGTAGTTTGATGTGGGGAAAAAGGATGGGGAGGGTTCAAGCCCTCCTTTTCCTCACTTTGGCTCTGAGAGTACACAGCTCAAGGGTGATGAGATTGGTGTGGCATTGGGGTGAGGAGGATAAGGGTTTCTAATGAAGCAAGGCCCGGAGGGTGGCAGCTTCAGGGACACTGAGCTATAATCACTAACCAGGCACTTGTTCAATCCTGATGGGCAGGATAAGAGGATGGGGAGGCACAATCACCTCCTTGCAGAATTTAGGAAGGAAAATGATTGGGACTAAAGAAATCAGTGGGGAAAAAGAATCAGACAGAGTAACCAGAAAGTCTGTAGCCACTGCAGGAGGTCATAGAAGGAAGAGCCAAAGCATGTGGTGTTGGATGGAAGTAATTAAGGAGGGCTTCTTGGCCCAAGATGTTCCTGGAGCCAGGCATAAGGATGGGGAGGCTCTGTAGGCAGAGGAACAGGATGGGGATGGCTCAAGGACAGTTGGTGCTGGAGCTGCTGCCATCACCCTTACCATAGCCTTTGCTTACTTCTCCTTTCCCCCACAGGAAAGCGTCCCAAAAAGGGCCTGGCTACAGCAAAGCAGAGACTTGGCCGTATCCTGAAAATCCACAGAAATGGCAAACTGCTTCTGTGAACCCCTTTGTGTTCTGCCCCTCACCCTTTCATCCCCATTGCCTTCTCCATTGTCAACTCTCGGGGCACTCTTGGATCCTACCTGCCCCAGACAAGGTGCTGAGGCGCATTGTCCTGCTTTCTTGGAACTGACCAAAGGCACGGACTCTTCCACGGGCCACTTCACCTATTCCCACAACTCCCTTCCCCACTTCCACTAGAGCATCCTGCCTTTCTTTTCCATATCTCTGAGTAGCAGGTAAATGAGAGAGTTTTCCAGCTGACTAGAACCCTCTTTTCTGCTATTCCAATCCATTTCCCTTTCACCAGCCTTGTCTGCCCTTTACTCTCCTCCCTACTTAAAGCTGGAAGGCAGAGTGAGAAGAAGAAGCATGAGGAGAGCCTGGGCTCCTTGGTGTTTCCCTGGTCATGAAATGGGAGGCCCAGCACTCAACACTTTCTGCAGTTCTAGCCCTGTCTCCAGAAGCCTACCCATCTCTGCCCATTCTCCTTCCTCCCCTCAGCCCAGTGGATGCGTCTCACTCAAGACTCATTCCTGGGAAAAGGCTCTGGCTTCAGCCCCCTCTTGCCAAATGCTTTATGGAAATAAAGAGGAGGGCCCAGAATCTTCTTACTGCCCCATTTCCAGGGTGGCCTAGAAAGCCCATGGGCTGACTTCATTCATCTTTGGAAAGAAGAAAGATTCCTGTTACTCTCAAGGTGGGGACAGGACCAACACCCAAGACTTTGGTTGAGACTTTGTAGCCTGTTGGAGGAAGCTGTTTTTGGGTGACTATAGACAAAACCACCTCTCCCAGGGTGAGCTCTAGGGATTTGCGTTGAGATTGAGGTACTGCAGAACATTATCCACATAGCTTTGGCTGGGCACCAGAAGGCAAAAACCATCTCCCAGAAGCTTGAAAGCATCTGCCACTGAAGCAGATAGCCCTTGCTCAATAGCCTGATCCCTTCACCTATACCATGGAGCACAGCCTGACCTTCTGGAGAGGATGTGGCAGGACAGTTTATCTCGGGTTCTCCATCAGGAGCCTCCCTGCTTCTCTCCTCACCTTGAGGTCTTGGTCCGAAGAAGGCTACAGAACTCACACTTTCACTCTTGGGGCTCTATACTCCCAGATGTCAGGTAGATGCTCAAGCAGAGTGCTGACGGGTCACTCAGAACCCCGAGTATAGGAGTGGTGATGCCCCTCTGTAAAGGAGCAGATCATCTGATCCTCCCACCCTCTCTTCCCTTTGTGAATGTTTCTATCGTCCAGACAGAGCCCACCCCCTTCCTGGCCCTCCCCCAGCTCTCTCCACCTCTGCCTGTCTTCCCTCCCTGGTGACCTGGACTGGATGGAGAATGTCTCCCTCTCTCCATTTTTGGCACTACCCAAGTGGAGTGCTTCCTTGTCCTCTACCCCCCACTTTAATGTCACCTCAGTTTTCCCAGTGCTTCTGGGGAACCTAACAGCTACCATGCAGGCTGCAGGGAATATGTGAGGCTTCCTTAGTCATCTTCATGTCACCATTTTGTCTTTCTTTTCTCCACAGCCCCACATCTACTCTCCTTCATTGGAATCAGGGGTCCCTTAGCCCCATTTGCTTTTTCTGTCTTTTGGGACCCTGGGGCCAAGCAGTCCTCCATCTAGTTACACCAAAGGCAGAAAAGCCTGGCTACCTCCCCCCTAGCACTTGGGGTTACCACTCCCCTCCCCTCTGTTTCTGCCCAGCTTTGCTTTTCTTGGGGATTTCAGAGCAACAGAGGGTAGTGACGGGAGGGAGGGAGGGCAGCCTGTGTCCCTGTGTAGGCAACTGCCTGACTAGGCCCTGACTGCTGTAACCAAGACCAGGACCCCAGCCCTTCTGCCCATTAACAACTTCCTCCCCTTGCTCTTTCAAAGGCAGCTAATTACTAGCATATTCCCCCTGGTTCCAGGCCTCTTTCCCCTCTGTTTCTTTGTTAAAAGTTTCTGTGGAGCTGAAACCCAACCTCAGTTTGACTGGGTTTCTGTTTAATTTAGTTGGGCTCTCAGAGCCTGCTGTTTGTTGTCTTGTGTTTTAAATGAAAAGCAAGTTTACCCTCAGATTTATGCTTTTCCAAAGAGGCTAGTGTATTTTTTTTTTAATGTTTCAGGTTCTAAGTGAGTTGGGAAGGGATTGGGAGTGGCCATAACCAAGGTTTAGAACATGGTGAGAGAGTTACCTCTGGTCTCTAATCCCCAGCACAGAGCTGGGGGTTGGAAAGGGGACAGGGAGAGAGGATTTCTATTTACCTTTAATATATTTTTACAGAAAAGCAATTTAAAAACAAACCCACCGCTTCTGTACATGTCTAAATATATTTTTAGAAGTGGGTAGGATTGTGAATTTCTGATGCAGGGCCTTTTTATAAACAGGTTAGAATAGCATCATACAGACTTCTGTTGTTTTTTTTTCCCTGTTTTTTTCTTATGTTGTGTTACTAATGTAATTTATATTTTTTTTTGATCCTTCTTTTCCTATAGAGATAAAAGTGATTTATCTTGGCAATTGCTTTGCTCGGAATTCTTTTTTTTTTTTTTGGTGGTGGTGGTGGGAGTGGTGGGGTGTTGGGGTCCAGGAGTATTACCTTCTGTTTACATTCCCTCTGTCGCTTCCATCAACTCAGCTCTTCCCTCGTGCCCAGCCTTATACCTGAGGTGGGGATGGGATAGGATCCCTGCCCTCACAGGAGACACAGTTCATACACCAAAAACAGATAATTGAAAGTACAGTGAGCAGAAAAGTGTGCAACAATTCAAAGGGGCCTGACAAGTTTGTTGGGAAGGCTTTCCATAGCTTCCATAGGCTATTTTTATTGGCTATACCTGTATCCTCTTTCTGTGAATGTGGAGTTGTGGGGTTTTTATTTTTTACTCCCCTTCTTTCTCTCTAACATGCTTCTCCAGACTGCACTTGATTACTGTGTTTAGGGCCACTGCACATGATATAATTATTAGAGCTAGCATATCATGCTTATTTCCTTGTGCCAGACGTTGCTCTTAGCATTCTATTTATATTCATTTCATCATCTCCAATAGCTTCATCCTACTGATGAAGGAATAGGCAAAAGAAACTTCTGGCATCACACATCTTACAAAGTGGAGCCAACCTGGTTCCACGCTCTGTGTTCTTATCCTGTCACTCTGTTCTAGCACCTGTCACTGATAACTGCTACCATTTAAGTGCCTTTTCTGTGCGAAGGGTTGGGCTAGGGATTTTACCTGGGATATGTCATTTAATCCTCACTGACAACCCCAGGAGATAGTTATTAGCCCTATTTTACAGTGAAGGTGACTGAAGCTTGCCACTGGCCTTCCATAGTAGGATCTGCCTGACTTGAAAATCCATGTTCTTTCCTCTCATCATGTTAGAAGATCTTTAGCAGCTCAGTGACCCAGTAAATGTTTATTGAGCACGATGTAGCATTGAGAGTATGTCCTGAGGAGAGCCTCAGGGGTGATGTTGGAAGCCTCAGTTCCAAATTTACCACCACCTGGGCTCTCTCAGAGAAGGCCATGGCACCACACTCCAGTACTCTTGCCTGGAGAATCCCATGGATGGAGGAGCCTGGTAGGCTGCGGTCCATGGGGTCGCTGAGAGTTGGACACGACTGAGCGACTTCACTTTCACTTTTCACTTCCATGCATTGGAGAAGGAAGTGGCAACCCACTCCAGTGTTCTTGCCTGGAGAATCCCAGGGACGAGGAGCCTGGTGGGCTGCTGTCTATGGGGTCACACAGAGTCGGACGTGACTGAAGTGACTTAGCAGCATCAGGAATCTGTGACCAAAGGCAGGCTGCTTACTGTCTGAGGGTCACCGTAAAAGAGGTTTGAACCCAGTCAGGATTTCTTTATCTTGGAGATTTTGCTTCTGTGTCGCTGGGGTATGGCTGGCTGGGTTTAGCACCTACTGGTTAAATGACTTCCCCCCAGCTCTCCGAATATGAATCTTGACATTGAGCAGGATTTAGATAAGATTCTTGTCTGGAGTATGGGGAACTGTGTCTCCTGGTAGAAAGGCAACAGGAAAGAGGAGGGATTTTAGAGCCCTTGCAGGAATGGTGGGCTGGGTTCTTTTTGTCACCAACTCCCACCCCACCCTTTCCAGTAAGGGGACAGAGTATTGTCACCAGCCTCAGAATAGCAGATAGGAGTCTTGGTCACCTTACTCCTCGTAGGATAGGAGGTACCAGCAGATAAGAGGCTTCTGTCTGAAAAATGGAAAGCAAACAAGAGCACCCAACTTCAGTCTTCTCTCCAATGTGAAGTGGAAAAGTGCACAGAACTTGTCACTAAGAGCCTGCCTTCTCAATGACTAACCAAGTAATTTGGGGGAGATTGCTTGTCTTAATACCAGTTTCTACATTTGTCAGATGGAGTTATCTCAGCTATGAAGCCTCTGATGCATTGTCACTCCTAAACTTCCTGGATGTTGTGATGCCCAAACTGAATCTCTAGTCCTGACCTGTCCTTACTACACACCACACACACTTCTGCTTGCCTGTGTTGTATTTCCTGCCTCAAGTACACAGGCTCCTCCCTTTCCATCAAGACCTTGTTCATACCAAGTTGACTGAAATGGCATTTGCTCTCCAGTAAACTGAGTGGAGGAGAAGAGCACCATATGGTACAATGTGGTGATAGAAATGAGCACAGGATGCCGGTCAGGGAATCTGTCAGGGAAGCTGGGAGTTCAGACAAGGCTTCCTGTCTGGGGGTGGAGTGGGGGGAGAGGGGAGCAGGGGGAGGGTGGGTGGGATGTTTGAAGCTGAAGGATGAAAATTAATTAGCCAGTCAGGCAGAGAACAGTGGGAAGAATATTCCAAACTAAGGCAATAGCATGAATAAAAAACAGGAGTGGAGGCAAAAAAGAAAAAACCCACATGCATATAGAGGACAGGCAATTTAGTATAACTGTAGCTGTGACTTTCATCTAGGGGAAACATACAGAGTCTCCAAGAGGGAATGTGTAATTTGAGAAGTCATATGATCAAAATT